AAGGCATTGTTAAGACAAAAGTTTGAAACTTGTTGTGAGATCACCGGATTGGTGATCACCTCCACATAGTTGTGAGAGGGGAGATGTGTTGGGTTGGACTCCCAATTATGTGTCTAAAAAGTACAAATTAGTCAAACTCATTTTATCTCAGTTAACCTAAGTGGAGAAGGGTCTTCTAGGTCAGAACAAAGAAGAAAAATTTTGCAGCCCTTGGAAGAGAAAAAGAAAAGAAAACAATTTCACTTATTTATCGAACTACCTCAGTAAAATTATGATTCCCGTTTTGTTCACTGTTGGACCAGGATAAAATTTTAACACCAGGTTCGCAGCGTAAAGGTCTTCATTTGGATAATTGGGATCGTTAATTGGAGGTCTGTAATTAGAGATATTAGTCTCGCATGGTGGATGATTTTTAGGTTTCATTTCTTTGTTCTTCAAATTTGAGAGCATTGTTACTTTGATATATTGGTTGTTTTGTAAACACTTATTTATACATTTTGATTTGACTATCTTGTACTCATACTTTGATCTTAGTGGAGCTTGATTGACTGGCTTGTGCTCATGGATTTTTACTTCTCATATTGAAGAGGTTTTCCCACGCTAAAAATATTGATCTTCTCTACTGTGATTATTTCTGTCATTATCTATTGTTGTTCCTCATATATTATTGCAAGTTTAGGGAAATTATTACCGCTGCATAATTTGGTATTTTAGGTTGTTGTGTTATTTTTCTCTACTAGAGATAGTTCGTGTAGTGACCAACTCGATTAAGTACGATTAAGAGTAGGTTAAAGATCTCATATTGTGGATCATTATGTCAAAAGTCTTCCTGACATGGGTTTCAGGCAGGCGATTCTTGTTGAGTTGAACGGCGGTACAAGTAAGGTCTTTACTGGGTACTCACAGTTAAGAAATATTTCCGTTCAAGGGAGAGGTGTACCAATGTGAAAGGGAATCACACTTGAGGAGATTATTGAGAATTCAAGTGTGAGTTGAAGTCGCACATTTGATAGAAATGAAAAAGTTGAATAAGTTACAAGTGAGAAAGACTCATAACCTAATGTCTTAAGGTTTTGAATTGAAAGTGGTATCATATTCGGCTATATGGTTGAGTTGTATGCCATTTGTATGAATTTTCATATTATTAACTCCTCGAAATACCTAATAGTAATATTTACTCATTCAAATTCTCAAAGTTCAACATTCAACTACAATGTAATAAAATATGTGAAAAAAAGTATTCTTTTAAAAAAATGTAAACAAATTAAATAATATAAATATAAATTAGTAAAGAGGACCAATATAATTGGAGATAAAATCTAATATAAATTAATAAAATATTTTTAAAAAAGTATTTTGTTTAAAAAAATATTGTAAAAATTTTAAATAATATAAATATAAATTAGTAGAGAGAACTAATGTAATTGGAAATAAAATATAATATAAATTAATAAAGAGATATAGTGCATAATTAAATATAAATTAAATAAATAAGTAAATATAAATGAATAAAAATATCAATGTATAATTAAGGATAAATAAATAAAAAATTATAAAAAAATATAATTAAAGATAAATTAAAAATAAATAAATAAATAAAGAGGATGGATATATAACTAGAGATAGATTAATAAATAAAATGAATAAAGATGATGAATGTATGATTAAAGATAAATTAATAAATAATTATAAATAAATAAAAGATGTATACTAAGATATTGTATTGAATAATAACAATTATAAATAAAATAAGAATTAAATATCTCATTAGTACTTAGATAAAAAATATTTATATATTTTCTTTTTTTTCTCTTTTTTTATTATTATATTATTTACTTTCATTCAATCCTTGTATTAAATACCATATTTTTTTTCTTCTTCTAATCATCCTTATCTCTTTTTAAAGAGATAAGTAAAGTAATCTTATCCTTTTTTTATTTTTTTTCTTTTAATAATTAATTTTAAAAAAACATTTTTTAGGTCTTATATTATTTTAATAAAATAATAAATATTTATATAACTTAATTATATCAGAAAAATATTACATTATAAAATGTTGAGACGTTTCATATCTTAAAATTTGATTATGATCGTGATAAATGATATTACGGGTGTACATAATATAAAATTCACTTCTATTCTATTACTCTTTAATCATGTAAAAAAAAATCATATAAAATAAAGCCATATATATGTTATTCACCTTATTTTAATTGTCATAAAATTTGACCCATGACCTCATGAGACAGCTAAAACAATTAACACGACAAATAAATAAAAAAAGTAAAAAGTTTGAAACTTTTTATAAAAATGTTGAAACCAAAATAAATAACACTAATTGGGATAGACAAAATCTATAACTTTATTTTATTTTTCTTTTGTCTCCTACTTTTCTTTTTCTTTTCTCTGTCAGGATCATTTTTACGTGTGAACAAATAAAAATTGGACTTGTTTTAGCTTTGTTGATCAGGGACACAGTAATACTAATTTTGTTGCCCAAATTTTTCTGTAAACACTTTAAAAAATAATAAATAAAATTAAAATATTTTTTTATCCTCTTTATAAAATATCATATAATATATTATTTGATTAATATTTAATATAATTATAAAATATTTTAATTTCCTAATAACTTAATTAGATATATATATATATATATATATATATATATATCAGTTTATATTTTAAAATAAATTAATTACAAATAAAAAATTAAATAACTTTTAAAAAATTATTAGCGTGTGAATAAATTTATTTTAATATATGAATAAATGAATTTTAACTTTTTTTGCCATTGCTTAGAGAGAAAAGTTCCTTCAAAAATGCCATATACAAAATACACTTATAGTGATCCCACCAAACATGTTAGGTACGTTTTAAACAAAATTCAACTAAGGATGAAAAATAATATTTTTAAAATGGGATATGAATTGGATTTACGATTTAAAAATATATGAAACTTAATTTAATAAAATAATATTTTTATTATATAATAAATATATAATAAATATATAATAATAAAAATAATTTAAAAAAATAATTATTATGTTGTACATTATAATGAAAATTATAAATAAAAAGTTTATTTGAGAATGAAAAATAATAATAATAAAAATAAAATAAAATAAAATAATAATTATTTAAATTTAACATGATTAATATGAGATAAGTAAAGAAAAACTGAAAATATAATATTTTTTTTATAAAAATTGTATTTAAAAATTTTAATATTTAAATTTCTTAAAAAAAAAGTATCACCCAAAAATTTAACCCATTTTTTTATTTTTTTTCCTATTTAACTTAAATTTAATTATTAAAAAAAAAAACTGATTTTCAGACTCAATTAAACCGATTCAACCAGTTAGTCTGATAAGGTTTTCAGAATAGTGATAAACTGCTATATATATTCGAAAGAGTGTTCTTTATATTCTTTTATGAAATAAAGCATCAACCTTATCTATTTGTAAAGCAGCTTAATTCTAACAAATTCCTAATTTGAATCTTGTTGTCTAGAAAATTGTATCCCTGAGCCAAGAAAGAGCCAGAACAAAAGAGATAGAAAGGATGAAAAGAAGTAAGGGCATCCATGAATTCCTATATTATTCTATTTGGATAAATTTATTTAAAAAATAGGCTTAAAAGTATTAAACTATATAAATTAGTTCATTTTATTTGCATATTCTATTGATATTTATTTATGTAGTACAAAACTATCTTTGCTACTTCATATTCATCTTCTAAGAATCTAACACAATACTGGTCCATGGTCTTGCTCGATCACTCTGAAGCATCACTGATAAATTATTCGAAAGTCCATTAATTAGTTGTTCCAAATTCTTTTCTTGCCCTTTTAAAAGCACAAAGGAATTGATGCCCCCCAAATTGTCTCATTGCATCAGTCACGTACTGATAATTGGAAAATTTTTAAAAATTGGGAAATTTTATTCAATTCAATTATATTTTTAAAAAATGTTTTATCGTAACACTATATTCTATATTTCATTTAGGTTTGTTAACATTTAGATTAAATTCATGAGAAGCACAACAGAATTTTGTTTATATATATATATATATATATATATATATATATATATATATATATATCAATGTTTAATTGTAATTTTTTGTTTTTCAGTGGTATAAAGTTATTGTAATTAGAGCTGGAGAATTAGTTTGTCCCAACTTGAAACAGTAAAAGAAGTAGTAATTTGTTGCAAGAGATCTAACTGTAAAAGAAAGGAATCTTACATGTATTTATTTTCAACAACATTATTAAGGGGAATTTTCATATTCGGAAACCATTTTTATCCATGGTGATTTTTATTCTTAAAATATGTCTATGTGGGTTAAGAAAGAGAATGGATTTAAACTATTCTTGGCATCGAGTCGTAAGTAACGTGACACTCATGAGCGTATCAGACAAAAATAATTGATATTTTATATAATTTTTGTCCTTAAAAACCCTAAAGAACCATATACAAATTATTTAAGTTTTATAAGTTACACAGCAATGGGTTAAACCAAAGCATTAAATTTATGGAGTCTTTCTTTTATTTATGCATATATTGCTCATGTACTTGTCCATTAATCTTACATCAGTTGTTGAAAATTTGAGGAAGAGAAATAATTGAAGTGATTTTTACATGAATTAACAAATATAAATCAACTTAACATAACATTCTATTCAATCCAAAACTTAATTATATTATATATATCTTCTCTTCATATTTCTCCATTCTCTGAATAGCTTAATAGCTAAGAATTGGAAGTACAATTGCACAATCGTTATCACATGAGGAACAATAATAACAATTTACGGAATCTCACTGAAAAGCAAGGACACAGAAAAGGAGAAAAGAATGTTGGAATTCTCAAAGCTTTATGCAGCGACACAGACAAATAAAAACAAATGCATGTCCTTTTAAAACCAAGAAGAATCACAATCACATAGGTGGAGTGAGAAGAGAGAGAGAGGAGGAGAAACCAAAAGGGTGTGTGAGATGCAACGTTTCAGCAACACAGTGATCGGATTCTTGAACTTTTTCACTCTCTTGGCATCAATACCCATCATTGGGGCAGGTCTATGGATGGCAAGGAGCACCACAACCTGTCAAAATTTTTTCCAAACCCCACTTTTGGTGATAGGGTTTGTGGTACTTGTGATTTCCCTGGCGGGTTTCATAGGGGCATGCTTCCATGTAGCATGGGCATTGTGGGTGTACTTGGTGATCATGGTGTTCCTCATTGCCTTCCTCTTTGGTTTGACCATATTTGGCTTTGTTGTGACTGGCCAGGGTGGGGGAGTGGAAGTCCCTGGTAGGGTTTACAAAGAGTACCATCTTCAACGTTATTCACCATGGTTGAGAAATAGGATCAAGGATCCTCAGTATTGGAGCACCATTAGGAGCTGCATTTTAGGGTCTAAGACATGTGCAAAGCTTGCCTTTTGGACCCCTCTTGATTACATGCAGAGGGATATGTCCCCCATTCAGGTATGCAATTTTATTTTCTAGGGTTTTTACTCTAACGACTCAAATATGAATCATATTATCACTGTTTTTTTACATTACTACTGTTATTTCTTATCTTTCTAAGTTATTATCAACAATTCTATCTCAGATTTCTTCTTCTTCTTCTTTTATCTCTTTGCTTTCTTCAATGTTTTTTGCTTATAATATATATAATACAATTTCTATCCAAAAGTTTGTTCGTGTCTAGTATAAGTTTTTTGTATAAAAAGATTTACTTATTATTCCTCTCACTTAATGAAATACAGAGAACTTATATGGTTTGATAGAGAAAAACAGAAGTTAGAAGAAGGATCTTTCTAGCTTCATGTTGATCTCTTCTTTTACTCTTTAATAATGAAAAATAAGGAGATTGTGTTTTCTTCGATTTAGCTTCTTTCTTTAGTTAAAAACCCTTTCACACCCTTCAAAAAAATCAGTTATTTCTCTTATCTTTATAAAGTAAAAAGAACTTGTCTAGTGAGAAGTAAGAAGTAAGAGCGTAAGATGTTAGATTTAAATTAATCCTCTTGAATAATGTTCCTTTGAATTGCTTTTTAATGTCTACTTTTTGCTCTTGTAATGGGAGGAATTAATTGGTTTGCTCACATCATTGTCTCTTTTCCACAAAAGAGATTCTCCCTCGAATCTTTATCACTTACATCAAATTCTCTCAAATATATGTTATACATAAAGAAAAAAAAAAAAAAAAACTCTCTCTGGTTTTAAATACTATATTTTAACACTAAAATTTTTCATTACATTGAATCACATTTCAATGAGATTTTAAAAAATTATTCCAAATTTGCTCACAGATATTTTGATTACCAAATTTCCATCTATTACCATTAATCATTCAATAGTTAAAAACAATGTATTTTTGAAAATAAGAACACTTCAATAAAATTGTTTTTTGTGTTACTTGTTTATTAATATTTTCAATCTATGCGAAAAAACCTATCAATTAAAAAATTATAGTGAAATAAATTAGAACACAACCTCTTTTAAAAATAAAGAAAAAAGCATTAAAAATAATATGAATTAAAAAATATATAATCATTTTGGAAACGATTAAAAAAAACTGAAATTAATATAAGTTTGTTTATACTCCAAACTAATACCCATGAGAATATAAATTGATATAATAAGTAAAAGTATGCATTTTTACGTCGGAGTTATTAAATTAAAAACTACTCATTGTTAAATTGTTTAAAACACATCAAAATTACTTATAAATAACCTATTTTAAATAAATCTGAGTACGAGACCCACGTTAAAACAATATTTTTTATTTTTATTTTTCAAGAAACTCTCACATGAGATTTCTAACGTATTGTTACGAAAAAATTTATTAAAATTCCAAAATTCAAGAGAAAAAAATTATTGAATAAAGGGTAACTCTCACAATTTGTTATGAATTTTAAAAACATTTAACTGACAAAAGTGTTCGTCGAAAATACTATTTTCAAAAGTGTGTTTCTATCAATTCTTTTTGTAGATTAATATTTTTCTTGCTTTGCCATCAAGGGCATCCTCAAGTAAGAATCACATTAATAAAATAAAATATGAATTTACTATCCTACAATTTTTTAAGCATTTTTATAATTGATTTTATTCAATTAAAATTTTTCTTAATAAATTTTAAATAATCTATCTTTTTCCTTTTTTATTTTATTTTTTAAGTTACTTGATGTAATGAATCCATAAAAAAATAAAATAAAAACTTTTCGTCACAAGATAGTTCTAATAGAAAGTTGATTCGTAAGATTCTGTAATGAAAATTTATTCAAGAAGGAAGTGATATTTTCACAACCCAAGAAACATATAACCTTAAAAACAACCCATTTTTATTAATATAATAATTATAAAATGATTTAATAAAAATGAAAATAAATTAAAATTATTATTATTATTATAATATTAAAAGAGAGTTATTTTGTAGAATTTTATATATTTTTTTTAGTGTCAAAATATCATTTCTGTATTCAATAAGTAATTCTCAGGAAAGAGGGTACTATGAAACTAACATTAGATTCCAATGTTTGGTGGTTATTATGGTTTAGTCCGGGTGTTGTAAGCCACCAACAGCGTGCAGTTACAACGAGGAAGCAGTGACAGTGACAGTGACGCAAGATCCGGATTGCTACAGTTGGAACAACGCCCCCACTCTGCTTTGCTACGATTGCGACTCTTGCAAGGCTGGTGTGCTGGAAAACATCAGAAGGGACTGGCACAATATCTCTGTTCTTAACGTCGTCGTCCTCGTCTTTCTCATATCCATTTATTCCATTGGCTGTTGCGCTTTCAGAAACGCAAGACGAGCTCAAACTGATTATCCACATGGTCATAACCGCATGACCAAAGTTAAACCCAGATGGGATTACTATTGGTCAGTCTCATTTTCTGTCTCTTTTTTAGGTTTTTAAAAGCATGTTTAATTAGTTTCTTTGTTGGAAATGTGAATGACAGGTAAATGTTGAAGCTTCTTCTACTACATGTGACACCCACATGAAACTAATGCTTTTGGTCTCTTTTTTTTTTTTTCTTGCAGTTGGAGATGGTGGTATAACAAGAAGGAGGAGCTTTTTTGAATTTGTGCATGCACTCATCACTGTGTGTTCTTGGGTAATCAAAAAGAGGGGACAGTTTACTGGTTTCTCAGTGAATGGATTTCAAGGTCTTTTATTTTTACCATCGTCTTGCTTTTGTACATATCCTTTTGCTTTATCTCAAAAGATTATAACAGACCTCTGTTTTCCCACTGTTTTAATTTACACTTTTTTTTCTTGCTTTTTGGTTTTCTGCTCCTGTCTTATAAATCAAAGTTCCATTCTGGAATAACAGTATTTTACTAGATATTTTTCTCATAAATTAGTCACCTTTTTTATATTCGAAATCTAATTTAATTTTTATTCCTCGAATATTGTTTCTTAATTTAATGACACTTTTTAATATATTAATTTGAAGGTATTTTTCAAAACAAATTAATTAATTGTAGGATTAACAAGATTTTAATTTGAATGCAATTTGTACGTTTGACTCACCATATGTATTATTAATAAAGATGAAGTAGGTTAACTTAAATGATTTTTCTTTCTCAAAATAAAGATGAAGTAGGTTAATATTATAATTGAAAAACTAAAAGTTAATTGAAAATATATAATTGATAGATGAAAGTTATTTAACTAATTTATTAAATTTTAAGTGTTAAAGTAGTTAATAAAGATAAAATAATAAAATAAATATGTTTTTATGTTGGAAATTTCACATTATCATGTTATATGTCACGTAGTATGGTTTAAAACGATAAAATTAATATTTTGATTTTATATCATAATTAAATCTTAATTTTTTTTAGGTTATTAGTTTGGATCAAAATTTATTTTTGTTTTAGGTAAAAATTGTCTTTAAAATACTTTGTCTGGAGTTGGAATCTTAACAATAGATAAAATATATTTTGAAAAGCATCTATAATTTTATTTTTTAATATATTATATTTTTTATTTCTTTAAAATATATTTTGGAAAGCATCTATAATTTTATTTTTTAATATATTATTTTTTATTTATATACTAATTATTTTGATTACAATTATTATAACATCTCAAAATTGATCATGCAATTTTGTCAAATACAATATATTAAATAATATTTTAAATAATTTAAATTTTTTTAAAATAAAACTCATTCATGTAAAAATAAATAATATATATATATATATATATATATATATATATATATATATAGTTTAAATTAACGTATAATATATATATATATATATATATATATATATATATATATATAAAACTGTATAAATTAATAAATATAATGGATGAAGATAAAAATCTTATCTCTTCATATTAAGAGATAAGTTTTAATTAATGATAGAAAATAATAATAATAATAATAATAAAAAGATAATCACTATTAGAAAAATGGTTAATAGTGACCGAAAAATTCAGATCATCGATATTAACTGAATCAGTGATCTGATTTCCCGTTTTATATTTAGTGACTGATTTAGTGACTAAAATTTCAATCACGTAAATCAGCCATCGATTCGATCACCAAATCAGTCACTGATTTAGTCACTACTAGAAAAATGGGTAATATTGATCGAAATTAGTAACCAAAAATTCAGTTACTAATAGTAACTCGAATCGGTGACTCATTTCTCTTTTTATATTTAGTGACTGATTTAGTGACTAAAATTTCAGTCACTAAACAAATAATCTATAAATTAGTGACCATTTTTTATTTATATAAATATATTTTAAAAATATATTTAATATAAATCTACTTAATAATTTAAAATAATTGATAAAAATTTTAATAACATTATAAAATTTTTAAAAAATAGTTTACTAACTTATTAAATAATTTAGTAATATAATTATTTGATTTTATTTTTAATTTAGTATGTGAATAAAAAAATTAAAATTAATTATTAAATTAGTCACCGAATTGGTCACTTATTCGATTACTAAATCGATCGTTAAAGTAATTATTAATTTAGTCTCATTTATATCTATAATCAATGATTAAATTAATTATTAATTTAGTCTCTTTTTGTATATATATATATATATATATATATATATATATATATATATATATTACTTTAATGTTAATAAAAATGTATTTCAATGTATTTTAAAAAAATTAAAATTATTTTAATTATTGAATTGATATTTCAAATGTATATTAATATCTTAAATAATTTAATAATTGAATAAATATTTTAAGTTTATATTAGTATTTTTATAAAAGTGTAAAAATTAAGTGAACTTATTTTAAAATTTAATTAAACATAATAATATAATATACTATTAACCATAAATTGGTGAATATTTAGTTAGAAATTAATTTTAAGTTTTATCGTTTTTATTTAAAAAAATTGTTAAAAAAATCAAAATAATTAATTAAATAAAGAATTTTTATTTAATAAATGTGTTAATATTATTAGTTATTGGAGAATTAAATTTATAATAATAATTATATAAAATTATAGAATTAATAAATTTAAATTATTGGTATTTTTTAATTATGAAGCTAAAATTTGATAATATTAATAAATTAAAATTAAAAAAATTATATATATATATATATATCACTTTAATTATTTTAATTAAAAATAATTTCATAAAAAAACTAATATTTGAAAATAAAAATGCAAAAGTATATATTTTTCTTTTATTTAATTATATTTTTTATTTTTTACTTTTTGAGTTTTAGTCCATAACAACAACTTAGTTGCCTTAATTTTAGTTTAACATAAAAATCTCATCGTCTTACCACAAAAATATATACTTTCTCTTATTAACAAAGTTTTTTTATCAGATTAAGAAAATTATCACTAATAAGATTCAAAACAAGTACCTTAGAGTTAGATATTAATACTTCAACCACTCAACTATTAGAATTTATTAATAAAAATTTACAAATAAATTATATTTATATACAAATAAATGTATATCCGTGTAAATATATAAATATAAAATATATAAATACAAATATATTTATATATTTTGATATATTTATATGTTCGATGTCGAGGTCACGCTAGAGGGTGAAAGTGTGTGTCGAGTGAGTTTTCAAAATTTGATGTCAAATTTGTTAGCGAGTCTCTTTATATGGATTTATAATTTAATGATAGAATATAATCTTTATAATTTATTTATATAATGATATAAAATAATTGTTTTCTTTATTTATTTTTATTTTATTTTATTTTATTCTTTTTATCTTTTTTTTCTATTATTTAATTAAAATTCTTATATTAAAATAATTTTTTCATTATTAAAAATAATTAAATATTTATTTTTCAAAATTATTTTTAAAATTATTTAATTTAACAAATTATTATAAATTAATCTATGTCTGGAAAAAATAATTATTAAAAGATGATTTTGATTAATTTAAAATAATATATGTTAGGAAAAAATTGTTCTATTAATAATCATAATTAGATTAATTTATAATAATTTGTTAAATTAAATAATTTTAAAAATAAATATATAATTATTTTTAATATTGAAAAAATTATTTTAATATAAGAATTTTAATTAAATAATAGAAGAAAAAAAAGATAAAAAGAATAAATTAAAATAAAAATAATTAAAGAAAAAAATTATTTTATATCATTATATAAATAAATTATAAAGATTATATTCTGTCATTAAATTATAAACCCATATAAAGAGACCCGCTCACAAATTTGACATCAAATTTTGAAAATTCACTCGACACACATTTTCACCCTCGAGCGCGCCCTCACATCCAACATTTATATATATAAATATATTTGTATTTGTATTTATATATTTTATGTTTATATATTTACATGGATATATATATTTTTATTTGTATATAAATATAATTTATTTATAAATTATTTTTAAAAAATCCTAGTAACTTATAGGTTGGAGTATCAATCTCTAACTCTAAGATATTGGGTTCAAATCCTGCCAAGTGACAATTATTTCAATCTAATAATAATTCAAATTTCTAAAAAATATAATAAATAATAAAAATATATTATAAAAGAATATAAAAGGGAAGTTAGAGACTATTATAATTAGATAAAATAGAAAGGGGTTATATATAAATATTTTTATTTTTTTTAATGTTTTTGTTAGTGACTGATTCGATCGGATATCGAATCGAGTCATCGAATCGGTCATCGAAATTAGCGATCAAGGAAAGAGTGATCAATTTGGGTTGGTTACTATTTCGGTCACTATTTTAGTTAGTGACCGATTTTGGTCATTTAGTGACCGAAAATTCGATCACTATTTGATGTTTTTGTTGTAGTGAATCATCATCCAAAACATTAAATGAACTAAAAAAAAATTATGGCTATAAATAGGAAGGGGAGGGGTTAGGTAGGAGAAAAAAAAATTGAAGGAGAAGAAAGGGAAAGAGAGGAGAAGAGAAAGAGAAAGAAAGAAAGAAAAAAGGAAGAGGAAGATAAAGAGAGGGAGAAAGAAAAATAATTTTAAAGAAAAATTTTTGGTGTAACATCTTTCATTATTAAGGTAGAGGAAGAAACTATTATCATTTTATCTATTTTATTTTAATTATAGTTGTGGAGTAAGGTGTGTAACCCCCTTACGAATTACATATACTACTTTCTTAATTTTAAATAGTTAAAACTCACCATTGTAAATTTATGTATAAAAACTTTAAAATTATTATTATAATGTCTACATAAACATATTATATTCTGAAACATATAATCTTATATAGTTACAAAAGATTACTAAGCTATAATTATAACTATAACTGTTACTATAAATTCTTAACGCAGCTCCCCTTCCTATGCTTTGGTATTGCATCATGATTCTAACATTAACTCTTCATCTGCATTTATAGTCTTCCAAAATTTGTTTTTAAAAATATTTATGAGGTTAGACATTTAATTTTACCCACAGCAAACAAAACAAATATTCATACGATAAAATCAACCAATGAAACATTCCTTCATAATAAGTTCATAACTACATATAAATATACAACCATATGTCATTTAATTTGAAAATTAATTATGAGAAACAAATAGATCAATCATAGAAACATAATAGAGAATACC